CATTTGCTAAGAATCTGTACTTGAACTTTCTCTGAAAAACACCTGGTACGTTGACAGAACATAATATGGTAATGAGATTTTTGAGGGTGCGGAACTGATTAACTGGATTTCCATTGTTTTCGGTGGGAAAGTTTGTCTCTAGATACGAGAAATTCGCTATGCGAGCTCAATGCTGGAACAAATTAAACTCGCATCTCGAGGTTCCACTGTATTCAAGGTTTACAAAAGTCAGAAAACAGTAATATTGGAAAAACTAATTGCTCTTTCAGTGTAAAACTCTTCTACGGATTCAAAAAATATTTTTAAAAAAATTCATATTGTTAGCATTAAATTAGCTGTGAAATTATAACTAATTTAATTTAATTATTTCTAGAGAAAGGTATCCCTTATGTGTTTTGCCGTAATTTAAATAACATAAACTGATTTTATACTTTTGCATTGAATTGCATTAACGCCTACAAAACCATAAATAAAGCTATATAAAAGTGTACCGTCTACACTTTAAGTTGTTCATTATATTTTAAAATTTTATACGGTATTGCATCCATATTGTTAAAAATCTTTAAAGTTTTACTAGGCTTCAATCACTTCATAATTAAAGGTTTTGACGTTCTTTCTAATTTCAAAAACAAATTTTAAAAAATCAGAAACCGTGTATTAAGCTCATTGCAGTTAAAAAAAGTTTCAGTATAGTTTAGTATATGAATCAAAGTGTATTTTCATAAAGATAATCAAATGAATGTTTTAAAAAAGGCAAAACATGAAATATCACTCAAGACTGAAACATGGCTCTATATAGGCACAACATTTGCTAAGACAAATCCAATATACGGTGAAAAAAACTGGTATAAACACATGTTTATACTAATTTCAACAATACAAATCTCTACGACATTTATACAAATCTCCATCTCTTTTGTCAGCAAATTTGACATAGATTTATCTATCTGATTCCGAAACTTTGATTTCAACAAGCTGCTTATTCACAGTGCACTTGGAAAAAAAAAAAATATATGGTTATAATTTATTTATACAAAAGATACTATCTGTGGGATAACCAAGAAATATCTTCAGCAGAAATTCTCTATAGGGTCGATATGGATCCCTGAGAGTCGATGAAATTTTAAATGGGGTCTATGATAATGAAGAGCTAGATTATTGGTCCATAGCCGAATATACACCAGCAATCGATCGGCATGGACAAAATTCCATTGGTTACAAATAATATATTAATAAAATTGATAATTAATGATTTATTGATACAAAGCTTTATCATGCAAATAAATCTCATTCAAAACACATAGGTATGCTACGTTTCGAAATTTAAAAGTCAGCCGAAAGAAGTATCCCAAAATTAAAGTTGTTACTAAGCCAACATTATTGACTTTTCCCTATGCTTACTCGATGAAAGCAGGCTTCTGTAAAATCAATAACTTACTACAGAAAACAAGAAATAAATTGAATATTTCTGAAAGAGGCGATTTAAAATTAAATTTAGAAATTTTATGCCAAATTTTTAAAAACAAAATTACATTAAGCGCAGTCATCACTTTATAAGGTATTTCTCCAGCTTTCCTAGCATGCCTTCGTGGTGTAGTGGTTCTGAACGCTGGGCCGGTATTAAAGAAGTCCGTTGTTCGATTCCCGGCGAAGGCGGTTGCATCTTTTCATCTTTTCTGCTTTCAAAAATGTACCTAATGTCTCTACAGTGGCGCTTGAACTAAAAGGGTGTTGGATGAGGATTCTCCACACTCAGGATTTGGCGATTGAGTCCCCTAAAAACCCCAGTCGCCCTTTAAAAAGGGGAGTATATAAGGTATTTCTCCCGCTTTCCTTGCGTGCCTTCGTGGTGTAGTGGTTCTGCACGCTGAGCCGGTATTCCAGAGGTCCGTGGTTCGATTCCCGGCGAAGGCGGTTGCAACTTTTCAACTTTCCTGCTTCCAAAAATGTCTCTACATTAAAATCTAACTGTTGGGCAATTAAAATCTATGATTTCCTGTTTGATCTTTATATATTTATAAAATCCAAAATAATAAAAATATGTCTAATAAATTATTTCTTCAAAACTTTTGTTTATATTCTCAGTTGTTATCTTGAAGATATTTACGCGCGGTTACTTGTATTATGGTTAGGTTGTATGCTATTTACTACAAAGAAAAAATGTAAAGAAATCAATAGAAGAGAAAGGTTACAATGAAAATAAAGATCTAGCGGGGAAAAGCCAAAAAAAAAAAAAAAAAAAAGCTGATATACTGATAAAAAATAAAGAACAATATGTAAAAAAAAAAAGATTTCGGTTCAAAAGAGCATCAGTGATTGATAACGAACAAAGGAATACGAGCTAATGGGAGAAATGTAGAAAGAAAACTAAATGCCGAAAGACCGAATCAGAAGGACAAAATAAAGAAATGAAACAAAGGCCTAGAAATTTAGAAACTTTATAGTAAAGATTTTCTTTAAAAAATCTAATGCGTACACCACATGACTTCCTTGTACGGAATATTAAACTATACGCATTTTTTTCTTGCATTTCATTTAAACTTATTGGATTGAATTAAATCTACTTCGACGACAACGCATAAACCACAATAGAATAAATGCACTCTTTAAAATTCATTATATTTGTTTACCATAGCGATTGCTAGCGAGCCATCGCTTAGTCTTAAACAAATCACAAATCCTAAAGAAGGTTAAAATAACTTTTTTATTTAGTCTTAAATTGAGCATAACAGACAGAGCTTTTGCCACAAAGAACTTCAGTATTACAGTAAATCCCACTTAACGAAAACGGAGAAGTAAAATATGACATAACTATTAAGCCCGAAAACCAATTATTTCCATGATTTTTAGTATCTTTCGTTTCATTTTCCTCTTTTATAAGATAAATACGTGTTTTATAACGCTAAAAAGTCATCGCAGTGAATGAATACGCAGAAGCAGGAAAAGTACGAATGTTCTACTATCCTTTAAATACCCATGAAATCTTCAGACTCTATCACGTAATTTTTGCGTAAGAGATCTTCAAGCTACTCACTTTCCTATTAGATTTGATGAGTCATTAGGCTATTTTGAAACAGAAGACATGAAAAATGAGCTTTAAATAAAAATGCTTTCATTTTCAAAACAGATGACATTTATTTTTAAATATGTCGTAAAATTAAGAATGATAAAAAAAAACCCTCAAAAGAAAATAATCACATAAAAATACAATTTGAAGGTTGAAAGTATAAGCAAAAGTTTTTATTTTTTAAGATTTAATCAAAAGTTTCATATAACAAACAAAAAATACATGCAAAATTACATCAGGGCAGAGAATAAATATTATAAAAACAATTTAGTAAGAGAATACTTGCATGTATATATAAGTACATTATAAATCAAGAAAAATTGACGGCACGTTGCCAAAATGTAACTGGTAGGCAGTTATAATTTTAAAATTTTCTGTTAAAATTCCAGGAAGTATATATGACCTTAAGCTAAACTACAGCTATGTTTTCACTTTGAGGTAAATATACTTAAGAAGATGAAGGAAATTTATACATCTGCTTTGGAGATGCAACTTCCTCATTTTTAAAAGAAGTCAAACAATTTTTGCTCTAAAGAAAAATATCCGATGAATATATTATCGCCTATAGCTTAGAGAATAGTACTTTGGTGTTACCAAAAACCATTTAAATTTTATGCTTAATTTTTAGTTGAAACATAAAAATAAAAATATAAGCAAACGTCCGCTCGAAAAATAAATGCTTTAATGTGCCTAAATACAAAGCACTTTTTTTTAATTCATAAAATTTTAATTAAACGCACATGTTTTTGAGTAAGATGGGATATAAAACTATAAATTTAAATAGGATTTTATAGAACGTTTCATTAATTTTTTTGAATATAGGCAATATTTAGTAAAATTTTAGTGAAAATTTTCATTTACGCCAGATCTCCTATAATAGATTCTAATTAATATACTTCAATAATCTTTACAAAGTATATAAATAACATACTTACCTGTGTTCTTTAGCAAAAGATTTGCTGTACTTGTAAAATTTTTGAAATATTCAAAAGCTTTGGTACAAAAACTCAAAATAAAAAACAAAAAAAAAAATCATCTTTTCTTCTTCAAAATACTGTCAATAAAATCAATAAATAATACAAAGAGGTCAGATTTGCTACAGAAACACAGCTAAAGATGAATAAACATTTTAGCAAAATTTCATTTCAATATTCTAAATACATTTTGAGAAATTAACGTAATTGCAATCAAAAGTAACGAAAAACACAATTTCTCAGAAAATGCATTTACAGATTTTAATACAGCACAAAAACTTTTGTAGCCACTTTAGACCTTTAAAACTCGCCATATTTGTATATTAGGCCCTCTTTTACTTCATTCTTAACTAATTTTGACTTTCTTTTAGCATTTTTCTGGATAGCTTTGCTGGTTGTAGTGATTCGCGTTTCGATTTCTGAATTCGCTGTTTGTCTATTCCCATGTAGCTTTCAACCATAATGGGATTAATTTCTATTTCTATGTACCTGAAAATAGGTAAAAGTCCTTTAAATACCTTTAATTAAATAATGATACAGCAATACGTGCACCTTAAAGCAACGTTTTCAGTTGGGCTAAAGTTTCTTTAGATAAAATAGTCCTCAAAAGGTTATTAAAACATTCATTATTCTTTTGAGTCTTCTCATGCAGGCATTTTATCAGCAAAGTGTCACACAGTGAAAGATGTGTTGCTTTTACAGCTTTTATATTGTTTAATAATTAGAAAATAGTTGTTTAAACTTATTGTTTACATTTTTACGACCATTTAAATGCCAACTTCCGGCATAACACCCCAAAATTCACTTCCGGTTTATTTTTTATACTATAACTTTGCTTCTAGTTATCGTAAAAACAAAAATAAAGCATTTTTGGAAACCTAAATGTATGGCCTATAAAAGGAATAATAAAACAATTTTCGAAAATTTTTCACGAAAACGACGAATTTAGGGTTGGCACATACCTTAAGCAAAATAATATAAAGCCTTCAATATCTCCTATTGTATCCCTACTTTCTTTCGCCCTTCATTACCTGTGAAAATATCAATAAAATATGAAAACACAAAAATGCTTCTCATATATAAATTACTGCATCCATGATTGCACTTAGTAAAATAAAGAATAAGGACAATATTAGTTCAGATAATTCAGATATAATGCACACACAGCATGGACTCAAATATGAACTCGTCTTGCTTTTTAATCTCAGTGCCACGCTTTTCTAGAGTGTAGTAATTTATATCTATTTTAAAATAACCAATTCTATTTAGGTTGCTATTCAACAACAAAAATAAAGATTCCGTTTCTTCTATAAGCCTTCATTCTTCTAATTGTCAGTGGCAGAATATTTAAATTTTGCAGCGCGCGTGAAAAGAATGCAAATTCTACTTTGCAGAAAGAATTTAAAACCCGAGTTTCGGTAGGAAAGAAGAGAGTTACGCTACGGCTGCCACCTCTGCTGTTTAAAGACGTTTTCTTATCGCTGGTTCACGTGGCTTAATTGCATTTACTTGCTGCCACTAGTTTCGAAGGGGGTTAAGAAATGGAATCTCGCTGAGCCCTGTAGTTTAGTTCTATCGCTTGTTAATAACTTCAAACTTTTAATTTCGTTATCTGATTTTCAGTTACCGCTCAAGCAGAGGCGCATTTTGTTAGTGTCGTGTTGACGCATTGTAAATTTTAAAGAGTTAATAAAGGGTACTTTTAACCCTTCTCTTGTGCAGTTACTACTATCCCAGTTTTCAAACAGAAGCGGACCTGCTGAACTCTACAAGTGAATAATATGAATATGCTTGCTGTTGTTGTTACTAATTCTCCTAATTTGATCATAATCTATATCAGTTCTATGAATGCATTATGACCAGAAGAGGCATCGCCAGTCATTGGCTAAAGCTTTGGACCTATATGTAATAGCCCAAGTTTATGGTCTGGCCAGTTCCATCCCAATTTTGATGGAAAACATCCCTGGGAATGGATTCAGGGTCTCCTATTACTACCATCAGTCTCTTTATGAGGCTTGACGTTATTTTAAATATTCCTCTGCCACAAATATATGTTTACTACATCCATGCCTTCTCCTGGATTCTATCTTCGATCCAACTATAAGGAGCATCGCTTATCGCTCTACTAATCAGCGCAACAAATCTACATGCAGTGCATGAGATAATTTGTATGTGACTCAGCTATGAATTTCACCCCACAAATATATATATATATATATATATATATATAAAAGCAGAAAACTGAAAAAAAAAATAAAATTAAATTTCAAAAAAATCTGAAAGGTTTCAGATTTTAAATTACGTCGAAAGGAGTGGTTTTTTTTTTAATTTTTTGTGCGTTACCTTTATTTATTAAATATCGTGTTCTTCGCACTTAAACCATAAAATTCAGTTCAACAGCAATACCGCAAAATAATTTTAAATGAGCATATCTCTAGAATTTCCGATACTCAGTCTCGTGCGCTGGAGATAAAAATATTTTTTCTCTACAACGTTGCCATGGCTCGCTTCTAAATCCTTGAGTTTGTTAATCAAAAATTCGTTAAAGTTTTACAAAATATGAAATCGATAATAAATTCCAAATTTTGTGCTTCCAGATGCCCATATTCGCAGGAGAATTGCGTTATTCAAAACTGGATTGCTCTAGGTACCGTTGTTTTATCACAATGCGAGAAACATACATATATACATTCATGCAGATTCTTCATTATTTAATTTCTTTAAATATAATACAGGGTGATAATATTTGGTGGCAACAATTTGAAAAGTGAAACAACGCTTGTAGTGAATCGACGCAAAATGCCAAAACGAAATAAATAGTCCTTCTGGAAAAATTGCTCCTTTGGACTAAAAATGTTTTCAGGACACCAGTATTTAACATGTACATAAAAAAGTATTTATTTTTTTCGAATCAACTAAGAGTTTAAAAATGACACTTACTTTAACTTTCCAATAAATACTAGCGCATTTGTTCGAAAACCAAATAAATACTAGCGCATTTGTTCGAAAACCAGATAAATACTAAATGATGGAGAGATACTAAATAGATACTAAATAATAATATATATTTTTTTAAATATATATATAATTTATAATCTATTTATTATATTATATATCATTTATTTTTATAATATGTAATACTTTTTACATTTATCTAAAATAGTTTAACTTATATCTCATATATGGAAATGATTCTACCAGCTTTAAGCAGAGAGATGGAAATTGTTTAGACGCCTCTTTTCTGAAGTTTAATCAGCTCAAATTATATAATTGCACATCACATGAGATTCACACATAATTCACATTATTGCACTTAACATGTCCGATTATTCAAAACACATGCAGCAGCAGCAGCAATGTAACAAATAGTTGGTATAAAAAATATTATTCTAAACAGAAATATTTCAAACTTCAAAAATATACATTATATCGGATAAAAAGTGATAATATGCTGAAACAAACGAAAAATGGAGGTTAAAATATTTCATATGCTCAGACAATATTGGAAAGAACTTGTCAGTGTCTCATATAAGTTAAAAAACATTTTATTAATATTTTCCCCTTAAAAGAAGGATTTATAAGAAGATTTTTTTCTCTTTCTGCTGCAACATGAAAATGCAAAGGCTTCTTTTAAAATACATATATCTTAGCCCGTTGTAACTGCACCTCTAACACCAAATACTTTCTCCTATAAATCAAAATTTGTTATAGGAATTACAATGTAGTGTTTCCTGCTAAAAAAAAAAAAAAAAAAAAAAAAAACTGTACAACAATCTGAAAGAAAATAGCTTCAGTTAATGGTTTAAACTATAAAATTGGCAACCAGATGCCAAATTTGTATTAAAAACTTATGAACTTCTGTATCAACAGAGCTTAAAATGAGATTCTATATTAAGTGAACATTAAGAATGTCAATCTAAAAATGCTTTCATCCAACATTCTAAACAATCAGTACCGATAGACGTCAGAAAACAAATTCAACAAATTTTCAAACACCCTACAATTTCACCTACATGAATTCATGCATATTTCTTAAAGAAGGATTAGCAGCATTTGCATCCTGCTTTATCAAAATTATCATACTGACTACATTTAAGAAAGTCTGATAACTAAGGCCATGTGTCAAAGTCATTGCCATATTTCTCCAATCAATCAAAACTGGTACGAAGTTAATAATACAAGCAATTATACTATCCAATTAAAAGATGCTCAAGCAGACAATGATGGAAAACATTAGCTAAAATGTCGTTAGAGAGTCCGATGATATTGATTGCATACAGAATAATAACCTGTAGGTATAAAATTTGCTAATTATCATATCGACTATATTTAAGAAAGTCCGATGACTAAGACAGTGTGCCAAAGTCATTGCCATGTTTCCCCAATCAATCAAAACTGATACGAAGTTAATAATACAAGCAATTATACTATCCAATTAAAAGATGCTCAAGCAGACACTGATGGAAAACATTAGCTAAAATGTCGTTAGAGAGTCCGATGATATTGATTGCATACAGAATAATAACCTGTAGGTATAAAATTTGCTAATTATCATATCGACTATATTTAAGAAAGTCCGATGACTAAGACAGTGTGCCAAAGTCATTGCCATGTTTCCCCAATCAATCAAAACTGATACGAAGTTAATAATACAAGCAATTATACTATCCAATTAAAAGATGCTCAAGCAGACACTGATGGAAAACATTAGCTAAAAAGTCGTTAGAGAGTCCGATGATATTGATTGCATACAGAATAATAATCTGTAGGTATAAAATTTGCTAATTATCATATCAAATGCATTTAAGAAAGTTCAATAACTAAGACAGTGTGCCAAAGTCATTACCGTATTTCCCCAATCAATCAAAACTGGTACGAAATTAATAATACAAGCAATTATACTATCCAATTAAAAGATGCTTAAGCAGACACTGATGGAAAACATTAGCTAAAAAGTCGTTAGAGAGTCCGGTGATATTGATTGCATACAGAATAATAACCTGTAGATATAAAATTTACTAAAAATAGCTCTAATGAGCAGACCTTCTAAAGCTTATTGAATCTAAATTGTACAGCCAGAAGATCAGATTTGATGATATTTACATCATATGAGAACCTAGCCATCATGCACGACCATCCATGCTGGACGTAACAGACCTCAGCATTCCAGTCGAACTTATTAATCTGTAATCTGTTAATGTTCCTTATGTTCCTTGACCCACATGTAACGTTAGCATTAAGGCATTCCCTCATGGAAGTCGTTATAGATACTTTCTTTATCCTCCAGCCACAGTACTCCACTGATACAAAGATCGACGGATGATACAAACGGCAACAAATCAAATTTTTAAGTTGTAATACTTAGAGTCTCACCCTCTTTGGTAACATAAACTAAATGAAAACTAGATGAGACTAACTAGCTCAGACTCGCAAGCTGGAGATGAAAATTATGCTTTATTTTGAAAGTTGTTGCCATTGCTCGCTTTCAAATCCTAGGGTTTGTTAATTAAAAATAGCAGTGCCAAACATTAATTAAAATTATTTCCGATTCCAAAAATTCGTAAGAAGACATTTCGACTGCGTACGACTTTAATCAGCCGAGATATTAATTAAAAACTCCGAAAACATTAATTTTCGCAATTTTTTCCCGAGTGGCAACAGTCTCGCGCATTAGAGATAAAAATGCTTTATTTTGAAAAGCGTTGCTACTGCTCGCTTTCAAATCGCAGAGTTTGTTAATCCAAAATTTGTAATTTTTACAAATCTATATATATAAGGAAGATTATATGTTTGTGTGTTTGTTTGTTCGCATTATTGATTTCTGATTAACTATGATTAACTTTTTGCCACATTTAATCGACTAAAATTGAATATACGTGAAGTATTCGATGGAACTTAAGCTTTTGGGACCATTCGATTAGAAAGACGAAAATCGTTCAAAACTGTGTGCCATTGTTGCTGGTATAATGACAGAGGATGAGTTTATTTTCCTATCGAAATTTTTCATCTGAATCCATATCGCATGAGACCG